CTATAAGATACCTAACATTCTTTAAAGTAAGTTCAAAAATAAAAACAACACCTTGATCATACATATAAACCCGTTACACACACATCCATGCATGTTACACAACTTACACAATAATAAAAAGTTGCGTTACTATTAAACTGATAAAAAGAATAATATAGCTTGGTTAAGGCCGGCCTCACGAGCAAAAAAATTATAGTTCAGGATTGTTCTTAAGAAAAATATTTAGATAGGTCGGTTGCATTATATTATTTATAGTTTATTTAATAAAAAATTACATTTATATGATATTAAGTATAAATTGATTATGATATTGATGATAATAAAGAGATAAAAGGTAATTAATCAAATATACATTATGTTATAGAAATAAATTAATTTAAAAAATATCACATGACATTTTATTTATATTACTAAAACATTTAATTAAACAGGTCACAAATAATGTGGTGTACCAAATTTATTTAAGTATCTTTCTTGTGTTTCAATTTCAATTGGATAATACCTATCACAAACAAAATTGATTATCAAATGGAATTTTAAGACAATCAAATCATAATTATTTTCATAAGATAAAAAATTCATGAAGATCATAAAATTTCAAATCAACTAAATAATAATCAGTTTTCTATTATTGTAATCACACATAAAATAACATACATACATACATATTATAAAGCATGCAAAATAAGTATCATTTAAAAAAATTAATATTATTTAAAAGTAACTTATTTTCAACCTTAATCAAACGAACTAAATAACTTCCTCCACAATGGAATTTCACAGCCGTGATTGCTTATCAAATTGGAGTTTCAAACAGTGGAGTGTTTGGGTGATCTTTTTTAAAATGAAGTTTGTGTTTGTTTTTTATTAAATCAAGATATATAATTTTTTATATATTATTTATTGAAAAAATAAGCTTCATATCCCTACATTTTTCCTAACATGTATCATCAACGTTTTATTACAATTTTTTTACGTTTTATTAAATGCTGTGTGAAAGAAAATATTATTAAAAATATGGGCATGCGATGAGAATAAAATTAAAAAAATATTTAATTTTTAGACCGAATTGACACGCGTCACCTGCGGGTAACAGCCGGACTGCGGGGCCAAAAGGTCTCGAATCTCAAGCTCAGCAAGCCAGCATGTGTTTTGAAACTTTCACTCAACCCGCTCTTTATTTCTCCTGTCATCCCTCTCCCCTCCCCTCCGCGGCTTAACTTCCCGCCTCTTTTATCGCCAATCTTAAAATCCCTAATTTCCCTCCCTCTCCACCTGTCTCTCCATCATCGATCTCCAATCTCCCTCTCTCCCTAAGTTTCTCCCTCACTCCACCATGAACCATAGAACCAGAGCCCTCGCCAAGTCGCCCCCAGCCAGAGCTGAGCAGTTTCAGAAATACCTTAAGCCCGGTGCGCGGGCCCGAATGAGAGACTCGCGGATTAGCGCTAAATCGCACAGGCTCAACTCACTCTGCCAGATCTCTCTCTACGTCGCGCTACACCTCCATCTTCTCCTCGCTCAAACGCTGGTCATCTCAGATCATCGTCGGTGATGGTTTTCCTTGCTTCGTCGGAGGGGATCTTTGGTCCTCGGTGTCCGCAAAGGAAGAAACTCACGGCGGTCA